CCATCCATATATGACGGCTGCAAACTCAACAGCCACTGGGCTCCCTTCAGGAGGGGCACTCTGCTGCCATCTACTCCCCAATCCTCTGCAAGGACAGGGAGGGTCCTCCTCTTCCTGCTCCTCAACCAGACTGTACTGAGCCCCAGCCTGACAAAGGTATGACAGCACAGTGACTGAGGAAGGCACGCTCCCCGGTTACACACAAGCGCAGGTTTGAATCTCTACTCTGATCCTTTCTAGCTATGTGCCCCTGGACAACTCACTTACTCTGACCCTCAGTTTCCCCATATGTAAAATGTGGATAACAGTACTTGCCTTAAAGCTACTGAATGAGATAATATCTGCAATTTGAGTCAACAAATATTTAGAGAACACAACTTAACGCACTGTTCCTGGTGCTGGGATACAGCAGTGACCTAAACAGACAAGTCCAGTGGTTCTCAAAGTGTGGTCTCCAGACCACTGACATCAGCACTACCTGGGGACTTGATAGAAATAGAAATTCTCAGGCCTCCATCCCAGATCTACTGAATCTGATGCACGCTCAAGGTTGAGAACCACTGGACTCAAGAGGCACAGACTCCGGACTATCAGTTGGGGTTAAGTGTTATGAATGTGGCAGGTAAACAGCTTAAGAATGATGGCTAGAGGTGGGGCAGCGGGCAGAAACATTAACTGATCTGTGATGATCAAGGAAGGGCTGTTTGATAAGGTGACAAGTTCCAGCAAAGATCTGAAAGCAATTATCTAGAGGAAAGGGAATGTTCCCTTTTAGATGTTTCCTTTATTTATAAAATAAGTCCATGTAATATACAGCATGGTGACTATAGTTAGGAACTGTAATCTCTATTCTGATCAACTATACATCCAGCTAAAAATTGAGACTGCTATTCATAATGAAAAAAGCAGCACTTTAGGGAACTGTCTCTGCCACACTAAGTGATTCTGATGTAACTAGCCTTTGGGGGTCTGGCTTACACGTGTATGCCTCCAATGATTAGGAGATCCACTCTTCATGAAGCAGTTTTATTTCCTCTTAGCAGCTCTCTTGTAGAAAACTCTTCTTTATCTGATGCTTAAATCTCTCTACAACTCCTACCCACCCACTGGCCAAGTTCTACCACTTAAGAACTACAAGCAACAAGACTGCTTGCTCCCTCTTCCCCAAGACAGAACTTAAAGTCCCTTATACATCTTCTCTTTGGCCCACTTAAGGTCAGCAATGCTCCCCTGAGACCACGTTTGGGGAAAGGTTTTCCAGATCCTTCATTAAGAGACTGAGAATGGCCTTGATAGTATTCTCCTGGGCAAAAGGGAGCCATGACACCATCACCCAGGTCAATGAAGCGAACCGGAAGAAGAAACAACTGGCAAGACCTCAAATATAGATGGTTTTCTCCAGAGGACTTGCTTTTCTACAAAGAGCCCAGACACTCCCACCTGGGACCACATTAGCTCTGAAATCTGAGGATTTCCGGCTTAAATTGAAGGTCAAGTTCAGTTCCCTCACCTTGGGGCTATGGGCGGGGCTGAGGGCAGAGCCTAAACTTAATCTCTGGGCACTAACTCCAGTATGTGCCCAGAGGGCTACCCCAACTTTCTTTGCCTACAGCTCTCTGCTCCCTAACGCATTTCATCTTAATGTCCTTTTCTTTCTCATTTCTTTAACTCCCCTGAGAATAGAGCCCAAGAATGCATGTTTGTTTTAATGTATCCAGGATCTAGAGAAGTCCTTCAACTATCTAATTGACTACAGAAGGCGAAGCCCATTCTTTCAATGATTCAGCAAACAAATCTTTATAGAGCCCCTACTTTTGCAGACTGGGCTGGCAGACACTGAACAAGACATACTCTCTGCCCTCTCAGAGCTCACAGATTAGTGGGGAAATAGGCTATTAGAACAGAGGGAGACTAGTGGTACCACGAGGAGAGTAAGGGTGTTGGGGGAACTGAGTGGAGAAGCATCTTGAGGGGCATCCAGGAAGATAACTTTGCGAGTGATGAAAAGCTGATTCCAACAGGTGAACAGAAGGTAGTGAGGCCAAGCTGGGGAGAGGAGATACTGAAGGAGCCAGGCTGGGAGGGGGAAGCATGAGCAAAAGACTGAAGGCATGGAGAATTGGAAAACTGAAAGGAACTAGGTTTGGCTTGGGCAGAGAGGGTGAAGGGTATGGCAGGGTTAGATAAAACACTGGAGATTCGTGGAGACTGGCTTCTAGACTGAAGAGTGGGGCAGGGATAAAATAGCAGGATAGTGACAGAATCCAATTAATTTTAGATCACACAGCTGCAGTGTGGCCTAGGGATAGGCAGGGGCTTGGGGGAAGACAGGGAGACTTGGAGAGACTGTTGCAGGAGCTCAGGTAAGAGAAAGGATCGAGAAGTAGGGACCATCTCCATGGCCCTGGTTGAGGCTGCACTTACAGCCAGCAGCTGGGCTTCCATGGTCTGCAGTCTCGGGGGGGGGGGGGGCAACATCTCGAGTCCTGCCCTGTCCACCTCAGTGGCCAGGAGGCTGCTTACGTTCCAACCTGGGCTGCACCAATTAGCTCTCCTTGTAACTTGCAAACAAAACCTAGAAATGAACTGCTTTCAGAGACCTGGCTGACTGCATCCCTTGTTACCAGGAAACAGCAGGACAGGTTGCAAAGTCCCATTACAGGAAATAAAAAGAACGCTCCAGCAAGCGCCAGCATTTTCCCACCAGGATTCCAGCCAGCTGTCATTCATGCTGCTTGGCAGAAGAACTGAACAGGCATAAGAATAGCAGCAGCTTCTTCAGTGCCAGGCACTGTGCTAAACGCTTCAATCTTATTTTTGTGATGCCCTATGAGGCTGCCCTTATCACAGGAATTTTCACTAAAGGGCTGAGGGGTTAAATAATTTGCCTGAGGTTAGAGCCTAAATCTGGGGAACTGGGATTTTCATCCTGGAATGCATACCTGAGGGTCTGTGCACCACGTGCTGCCTTAGAAACCAGAATGACAGTAGAAAAGTACCCTCATTTTTTCCCCTAATGTTTATTTTGGAATCCTTTAAGATTTACCAAAAAGTTGCAAAGGTATGGTGTTTCTGTATAACACTCATTTGGTTTCCTCATGTTAACATCTTACATTATAACAATACATTTGTCAAAACTAATGAGCATAGGTACATTACTACTAATTGGACTCCAGATTAGATATTAGCTTTTATACTAATGCCTCTTCTGGTCCAGGATCCAATGCATTATATCACATCTCCTTCAGCTCCTTTGGTCTTTTTTTTTTTAAATAAATTTATTTACTTATTTTTGGCTGCATTGGGTCTTCGTTGCTGCGTGCGGCCTGTCTAATTGCGAAGAGCGGGGGCTACTCTTCGTTGTGGTGCGCGGGCTTCTCATTGCAGTGGCTTCCCTTGTCGTGGAGCACGGGCTCTAGGTGCGCGGGCTTCAGTAGTTGTGGCTCGTGGGCTCTAGAGCGCAGGCTCAGTAGTTGTGGCGCACGGGCTTAGCTGCTCCTTGGAATGTGGGATCTTCCTGGACCAGGGCTTGAACCCGTGTCTCCTGCACTGGCAGGTGGATTCTTAACCACTGTGCCGCCAGGGAAGTCCCTCCTCTGGTCTTAAGTCCTTGTTTTTCGTAACTTTTGACCATTTAAATGTTGATAACGCAGTAGAACGTCCTCTAACTGGACTATGGGTTTTCAGAGAGAATTCAGAGGTGAAGTGCTCATCTTGTCAAATCAGAGTACTATCAACATGATATATCAGAAGTGTTAAGCAACCTTAATAGTTTGGTTAAGGTCTCTCCAGAACAAAGTTAACATTTTCCCTCTTCCATGTTCGTGAGTCACTAAGTCTAGCCCACAGTAAGTCCCACTTACTGGAAGGGGGAGCATCTACTTTTATTTAGAATCCTTTTTAAGATTTATGGCTTAATTTATTCAAATCACCTGCAGCAGCATGGACTCATTTTATACTTTGGGTTGTAATCACTCATTTTTAAGATGAAGAAACAAAGAGACTCAAAAAAGATGGCTTGTCCATCACACAGGGTAAGTTGGTAGGAGCCATGGCAAGACCCACCTCTCCAAGGTTCTTCCAAGTTGGAAGAGAACTGTGAAGAGATCTGTGTATCAAGGTAATGGAACGTTAATCAGCAATAAAAAGGAATGAAGTCCTGAAACATGCTGTGATGAACCCTGAAAACATTATGCCATTGTCTTGCCTTGGGGCAGCAGTCACTATCACACAGCGCTATGCTAAGCCTCTGCAGAACACTCAGTACCATCTGGTGCCACTGGGTCCTTGGAGCTGGATGCATGCTTCCGGAAAGCAGAAACTTTCTTTTTCATCACCGACGAAAATAGGGCTTGGTGTGTATTTGTGGGTGACCAAATCTTTATGTACTTTATGTACTGATGTGGAACAACCTCCAAGATCTGCCAAGTGAGAAAAAGCAAGATGCAAGAGTGCGATCCCTTTTTTGCACAGAAGGTGTGGGGGGCGAGTACACACCCACACGTGTTTATATATGGCTGTCTGGAAGGCTCTTCTGCTCAGGCTACATACACTTAGCTCAACAGTTTCCACTCCACTCCCGCTCTTTAAGAACTGGTCCACTTTTGGAATCAACACCTTCACTTTCAAAACAAGGTCTCCAAGGCCTTGGTCGGCTTTAGATGACTGAGGTAACTTAACACCACAACAAGCAGTGTAGAAAAGACCCAACCGCAGCCACCATTATCTCACCTTTCCTTAGGCTCCTCCTCCCAGGAAACCAGTTCCCAGAACACAGGCTCACCCTGTCCCATGGTAGGGGCTGAATCAGTACCTCTTGTGCTCCTCTTTGACAGGCTAGATACATTCTCTGAAGCAATGTATCTATTAAATGGCTGCTGGTTTATCAACGCACCCATGACCTCAAGACAGTCCCACACCCTGGTTAAATACAGAAGGAAGGAATCAAAATATCCCCAAGGGTGGCCCCTACACAAAGGAGAAAAGACTAGAGTCGAAAAGAACTTACATCAAGGCAATTTATTAACAGAAAACAATAATTTGAGGAGTCCTGTTCACAGACGGCGACCACGGCGACCCCCCTTCCTGCGGGTGCTGTCGGAGGGGATGGGGGTGACATCCTCTGTGGGGAGGAAGAGAAAACATCATTGCCTGGAGCTGGATGGGAAGGGGTCCAGGCCTCCCTAGGCCAATTGGTCTAACGGATCAGCAGTGGATCCTGCTGCTTCACAAGTTAAGTCCTCAGTATTTAACAGATAGATGTGGAGCTGCCCCATCTGCTGCTTCCTCAAAATTTCTGATGTGGTTTGAACTCAACTTACCAGAAGGGGAAACTGAGGCTCAGAGTGGGTCACTTGCACAGGATGTCAGAGGCAGGTGATAAATCCAGGTTTCTGACACCTAGCGCACTGACTCTAGTGGAAAAATCCTCATAAACTGAAGAATATCTCCTTTTTAATAGCTAGGAGGCTGAAAATGTTCTGAAAAAATCTTGAGAGGGCTAGACATTCGACTGAGGGATCAGTACACGTTGCCACAGAAACAATAGGGAAGGGCTAACATCTCCCTCCTAAGAGCTATAAGTGGCCAGATCAGACGTGAGGGTATAAATACTACACAAGTGTAGAGAACTGCTGTGATTCTCAACCATGGGAGCTACTGCCCCCTCCATACACTCTTGTCACAATGCCTGGCCTGCCCTACTGATATTGAGTAGTCAATGATCACACAGGAGACACCCCCCCCAAATACCAACAGCAACCCCCATGAGAACACTGGAAAGGACAATTCATCTCCTGTCAGTTCCACCAGTCACCATCAGGCACAGAAGTTCAGAAATGAGACGGCGCTGTCCCAAAGCAGGACATTCACATCAAGGCAACAAGGGTGTTCAGGGAGAGAGTTTATGTCACATGGTGCCTCTTGCACTCCCTATTAACAAACCTAACTGCCAAAAGTTACCAGACTAGGCCCTGTATCCACTGAGCAGACCACATGCTTTCCGGGGTCAGTGCTTCAAAGCAAATCCAAGCATAAGCCAAAGAGGGGCACTCACCAATCCGCCCAATCTTCATTCCTGAGCGGGCAAGGGCTCTAAGGGCTGACTGGGCCCCTGGTCCAGGAGTCTTGGTCCTAGGATATGAATATCTAAATTAAGAAAAGCTTTTGGCCAAGTCATGAGAAGATCCCACAACCCTCTAGTTCAGGGCTCTACAAACTTTGTTTCTGCAAAGGGCCAGACCGTAAATACTTCAGGCTTAGTATGCCACTTACTTTTTGTCACACACTCCCCCCAGCACCATGGGTCACAGTTTGTATCCTGCTCTGCCTGCACCCTGTTCAAAGAAGTGCCCCTTTTGGTCACATGCTGTGATTCTAAGTGTTTCTGGTGATCTGTCCTTTTCCATCCTCCCAAGACCACAACACTATCAACGGTCCACTGGACCACTTTAACAACTTCCTATCTGGTCTGTTCCCAACACAGCAGTCATCTTAGAAGACAAATAACAGAGCTTCCCGGGTGGCGCAGTGGTTGAGAGTCCACCTGCCGATGCAGGGGACACAGGTTCGTGC